GAGACTGAAGGATGCCTAAGAAGAACACAGATGGTGACTAGAATAGCTGCTGTCTTTAAAATGCAGACTCAGTTGCCTCCTCCCCCTACTGATGACCCCATCTTTGGCAATATCAACCAGGAATCCTCCCACCCTCTTAGCCTCAATTATATTGTCCAGCTATATACTCTGATTATGGACGCTTGCTCTCAGCCTGTTACACCAGTGGCTGTTTCTAAACGAACTGAAAATATGTATAGAATTCATGGAGAAGAGGTTGCCTTCTTATCTAAGCATCCTGCCCCAAATTCTGTGATTGTGCATGCCAATGGCTTCCAAGGCTTCAGGGAGACCTCATGTTACCCCTACTAATAAAGAAGGCCTAAAAATGGACATGCTGGGGAGAAAAATTTACAGCTTTCAGTCCTTCCTCCTGAAGATCTGCAATTATCAGGCAGCGATGGGAGCTTACAAAAAATATCTCTGGAACAAAATACTGCCAGCTCTTCAAGTAGCCCCTGAGGACATCAGACAAGAGTGTTTAAATGCCCATGCTGAGGCCATGACCCTTTCTAAGCATCAACGGTTAGCTAGGCATGCTACGGTTGTTGCGGCTAAGACTCTTAACTCTGCTATAGCCTTACGTCGCCATGCTTGGCTTAGGGCCTCTGGAATTATTGAAGATGTAAAGAAACAGATTGAGGACCAGTCTTTTGATACAAAAGGTCTCTTTAATGAAAAGACTGATGAATCTCTTAAGTCCTTACATGAGAGTAAAAAGGCTACCAGGTCGTACACCATTCACCAGCAGCCTTGTGTCCACAAACAACAATGGCAGAAACAATTTCCCCAGCAGCAATATCAACACCAGTACCAACAACAGTCTTCCCAAGGATATAAGCCTTATAGGACATCTCAGGGCAGATCTTCTCAGCTGGCTTCTTCTGCTCCAACCTACAAACAAGCATCAAACAAACGTCAGTCTTACAGGCCCTCGACCAAAAAGTCTAAGCAATATCTTTGACTTTTATACCCCGCTGTCACAGACCCACCTCACGCATCTGGCTCCATTCCATCACAATTGGCAAAAGTTAACAAAGGACAAATGGGTCTTAAACATCATCAAGTTCGGCTACCGCCTGGAGTTAGTGGAGCTTCTTCCTCTAGGGTTTCTAAAAGTCACAACATCCAATCCTACCCTGGAGGAGGAGGTTCAAACTCTACTCCAAAAAAATGCAATACAGCCAATGCCTCTTTGGGACATCCACAGAGGGTTCTACTCCCGGTATTTTGCGGTGCCAAAAAAGGACGGAGGCCTCAGGCCCATTTTGGACCTCAGAAGCCTCAACACGTACCTGCAACCTCGGCGTTTCCGGATGGTGATTCTAGAGTCCATCGTTCACCTGTTAAGAAAAAGGGATTGGTTCGTTGTTATAGACCTTAAGGACGCTTATTTTCATGTTACTATACATCATCATCATCACCACAGGAAGTACCTACACTTTCTGATCAACAACAGAGCTTACCAGTATGCGGCCTTACCATTCGGCTTAGCGACGGCTCCACACATTTTTACAAAGTGCATGGCACCAGTGGCGGCCTTTCTACGTCTACAGGGTGTAAAGGTATTTCCCTACATCGATGATTGGCTAGTGGTGTCACCATCCAGAAAGAGAGCGGTACAGGACGCCGACTCCACTCTTCACACTCTACAGAGCTTGGGCCTGACTATAAACTTTGGCAAATCCACGTTGACACCCTCCCGTGTGATAAATTACATAGGAGCAACTCTGGATTCCAACAGAGCCAGGCTGTACCTTCCCCAAGAATGCATAGATAAGCTTCAAGAGGCTCTCAAACACTTTTGTCCTCATTCACTAGTGTCAGCGCATCATGTGCTGCAACATCTGTTAGGCCTGATGGCCTCAACCACAGCATGCCTACCACACACAAGGTTGAAGCTGCGCTCACTACAAGCTTGGCTTCTCCATCATTTCGATCCTCTCGTGGAGGATCCCAGGAAAAAGATCTTAGTCACCCCAGAACTGGCAGAACAATTGGACTGGTGGAGGTTCCTCCCTCATCTGTTAATGGGTCGTCCATTTCGACCCCTACAACTTACAACACAGGTGACAACGGACGCAAGCCCCACAGGCTGGGGGGCGCATTGCAACGGACACACCATTCACGCCCTGTGGCCGTCTCACCAGAAGGGTCTTCACATCAACTTGTTAGAGATGCTAGCTGTCATCAAAGCATTCAGAGCGTTTTTACCAATGATCCGGGGTCAGGGCTGTGCAGGTGGTAACAGACAACACAACGACCCTCTTCTATATCAACAAGCAGGGCGGAACAAAGTTGTTATCTCTCCTTTACCTTGCAGTGCACCTGTGGGAGTGGTGCTGCCACCACCACATCTACCCAGTAGCAATTCGTATTTCGACATCGGAAAATATTCTAGCAGACGATCTCAGTTGTCGGATGGGTCAAACCCACGAGTGGGAGTTGGACATGGAGGTGTTCCAGATGTTGTGCATAGACATGCTCGCTTTGTACCAGAACAAGAAGTGCAAGAAGTATGCGTTTCGAGCAGGCATAGGCCTAGGCTGTCTAGGAGACGCCTTCATGACTCCTTGGCACAGCCACTTGATTTACCTTTTTCCTCCGATTCCTCTCATTCAGAGGTCTCTCATCCGGATCAGACAGGAGAGAGTGTCAGCAATACTGATAGCTCCATTTTGGCCACGCCAGCCGTGGTTCCCGACGTTGGAGGAGCTCTCCACTGATGTCATCAAGCTTCAAACGATGCCGCATCTGTTGACTCAGGATGCAGGGCAGATTCTTCATCCGGATGTCGACTCCCTGCATTGAGCTGCGTGGAGAATCTGCCTGAAATAAAAGAGATATTAGACAGGTCTAGGAAACCGTCCACTATTTCACTATATAAGTACAAGTGGAATAATTTTCTTCGTTTTGCTACTGAACAGAATTTCCAAACTTCTCCAGTTTCTTTACAAACTTTGCTTCTGTATATTAGATACCTTTTTGATCTTGGTCTCACCTTGTCTACTATTAAAGTGTACATTTCTGCAATAGTTTCATTTGAGCCCTGGGATTCTGACTCTTCACAGCTCTTTTCACATCCCACATTGAAGGCCATTCTCAAAGGACTGGTGAATATTTGTCCTCCTACAAAACCACCAATGCCTCAATGGTCTCTCACCCTGGTTCTACAGTCCCTCATGAAGCATCCTTTCGAGCCTATGGCTTCATGTGATGTTAAATTCTTTTCTCTGAAGACTCTGTTTCTGGTTGCGGTTACGTCTGCTAGAAGAGCAAGTGAGTTAGCAGCTTTAAGGTCTGATGCTCCTTACCTGCAGTTCTACAAAGGCAAGGTTATGATGTTTCCAGATGTTTCCTTTTTGCCAAAAGTTGTCACTGATTTTCACCTAAACCAACCTATTTCATTACCTACCTTGTTTCCGGATCCTTCCTCCGAGGTCGAAAAGATGCTTCATTGCCTGGATGTTCGAAGGGCTTTAGCATACTGTTTCTAGGACTAAGGATTTTAGGAAGTCTGAAAGGCTCTTCCTGTGTTTCTTTGGCCCACACAAGGGTTGTCCAGCCTCTTCGTCTACCTTATCACGTTGGCTCGTCTCCACTATCACTCTTGCATACCAACTTCTAAATACAGTGGTGCCTCGCACAACGGGCGCTTCGTAGAGCGATGAATTCGCTCTATGAGGCCATTTTTGCGATCGCAGATGCGATCGCAAAATGATGCCCATATAGGCTGTGATTCACAGAGTGAAGGGCGGTAAGCTGCTCGCTT